AGTTGAATGTTATAAAGCTCGCTTGGTGGCTAAAGGGTTTCATCAACAATATGGCATTGACTATGATGAGACCTTCAGTCCTGTAGTCAAGCCCACCACTATTCGTACGGTACTTGGTCTAGCTGCCTCCTTTGGTTGGCCTCTACGACAGTTAGACGTCAAGAATGCTTTTTTGCACGGGGTTCTTAATGAGACAGTTTTCATGACTCAACCTCCTGGCTTTGTGGATCCTCATCGTCCTAATCATGTTTGTCGTCACAAAGCCATTTATGGCCTTAAACAAGCACCACGTGCTTGGTTTCACCGGTTTAGCTCATTTATCATTCAATATGGCTTCACTCAGAGTCGAGCAGAGCAATCCATGTTTGTGTATCGCCACTCCTCTAAGATGATGGTTCTTCTGTTATATGTTGATGACATAGTCCTCACAGGGAACACCCTTCCATGCTCTCATCCTTCATATCCACTTTGGGCACTGAGTTTGAAATTAAGGATCTTGGCCCCCTTCACTATTTCTTGGGTCTTGAAGTGACTTCTATACAATCTGGTATACATCTCTCTCAAACCAAATATAGCCTTGATCTATTGCAACGTAATTCTATGGTTGAATGCAAACCATGCAGCACCCCTATTCATTCCAAGACGCAACTTTCCTCCTTGGATGGTGAGCCATTATCAGATCCTACTGAGTACCGTCGCTTGGTTGGTTCTCTTCAATACCTCACACTTACTCGCCCCGACATTTCCTTTGCGGTTCAACATGTCGCACAATTCATGAGTATCCCTCGCACTTCTCACCTTGCTGCTGCTAAGCGCATCTTGCGCTATCTAAAAGGCACTGTCTGCCGCGCAAATCTCACAGCCTGGAGTTCCGGGCCGAGGGGATATGCGTTAAACACGCGGTTTCCTGCTTTTGGCGTGCGGTGCGGTTGTGCGCGGGCGTGCCAGCACGGTTTACCGTGCGTCGAGATTTTGATGTGTGTTGAATGGATAAGTGGTGCGCCTGTTTGAACTCGTCTTCTAATCAAACGATTGTAGCCGAGAGAGGAACTATTCTCGGCTGTTAGGTTCACGGCCTGAACTACAAGGCCGTTGAGTGGTGGTGTTGGTGGGGGGTTTTGGGCGGTGCTCCGGCGCGCTGCTCAGGGAGCGACGGTCGTATGATATATGGGGTGAATGAGCGAATAATAAGGGTGGTGCTCCGGCGCCTTGAAAATCAAGGGTCGTATGATATATTGATGAATGGATTTTCCTTACAAACTAACACTACTCCTAGGAAAGCAAGTAAAATATTGAAAGTGCATTACAAGAAAATATAAGTTGCTCCGTGGAAGGCTTTTGTTTGGTGTTTGAACCCTTTGAACGTAGTCCTGAGCCTTGTATTTATAGTATGAGTCTTTGGAGGAGTAATCGAGGCTGAAATCCTGTGGGGTGGAGCCTGATTAGAGCAAGTGGGCAGTCTAATCGACATTTGGGATCGTGAAGCATGGTGGTGTGACCCCATGAATCCCGGTGAATCTCGGCTGCCGCCCTGATCGTGGGTTCTGCGCTTCTGGCCGTGGAGACGCATTTATTGCTCTGGTGGCTGGTCACCTAATCTCTCAAGCTGCAAAGAGCTTTGTGAGAATGTTGGCGTCTAATCATTCTGATCCCTGTCACCAAATCCTGACTCAAATCACTTCCCACCTTCCCTCGTGCATTAAATGCTTATTCTTGGCCAGTGGGTTTGCTGCAATAAACAGAGGCCTTGCTTCATTAAATGGAGCGTGGGACCCTGCTATCACGTGATGACCTGACTTTAATGCTTTTGGCCGTGGGTTTGTTCGGCCTCGGCCTCGGCCTGCAAACTAGGCCGAGATGATCGTGCCTTAGCAATTTTCTCTTGTCTCTCGGACGGCCGAATACCTTGGCGAAACGCTGCGCTTCATCTTCTCGCGGAAATGCTAGGGCCGAGGAAGGAAATCCCTCGGCCAGTCCATGGCCGTGATTTATTAGGCACAAACAGGCACCTTACAACTTGGCCTTGTGTTTCGATCCTCTTCTAGTCCTCTTGCACTCCATGCCTACTCTGATGCTGATTGGGCTGGGTGTCCTGACACTAGGCGTTCTACTTCAGGTTATTGTATTTTCCTTGGTCCGAATCTCATTTCTTGGAGTGCCAAGAAACAACCTACTGTTTCTCGATCTAGTGCTGAGTCTGAATACCGTTCTCTAGCCGGGGTCAGTGCAGAGACCGTTTGGATTTCACATCTGCTTCATGAATTGCATGTACCAGTTTCAAGGCCAACTACATTCTACTGTGATAATCTTAGTGCTACTTATATGGCCTCAAATCCGGTGTTTCACGCCCGCACCAAACACATTGAATTGGATTATCACTTTGTTCGTGAGCTTGTTCTTTCCGGCAGCCATCGTGTTCAGTTTGTCCCATCTATTGATCAAACTGCAGATCTCTTCACCAAAGGCCTTCTTAAGCAACGTTTTCATCTCCTTCGTTCCAAACTCGTCTATCAAAGACCGCCGAGTTTGAGGGGGAATGTTAAAGAATTGTAATGTCAACAGTTGACTTGATTACTTTCCATATCAATTTATATTTCCTGTATCAATTGCATATATTATGATTGCTGTCACAAGCTATAGTGTAGGCGTAGGTTTATTCTTTCCATTCTTACACTGTTGTAAATCCTTTAAATACCTTCTCTGAGATTCAATACAATGATCGAATTCTCAAAACTTTACACTTGTCACGTTCGGGGCGGTTCTTGTTGTTCCAGCCGGCTGGGGTGATGACCTCGGACATGCTGGTGTAGGCAAAGACCACCCTGGGACTGGTCCTCCAAGCCCTGCCCAAATACGTGCCATTTCCAGTCCCAGTTATGTTGCAGTGGACAAATGAGTATCCAGTATCCAGTATCCTCTGAAGCTAAGTCCCTTGCTTGTGCTATTATCACTGTCATTTCATTATTCCCCAGCACATGTAACTCAGTGTTGTGCACACCCATTAATTAACTAACCATCAAAACCATGACATAATACGTAGACAACCAACAGTTGAGTTATAGTGAAGAGTTAGTCGTATACATAATGTTTCTCACACAACATGTACGTGAAATTCACTATTATAAGAAGATACTCGCATATAGCGATTTGATTTGTAAAACATGTAGGCATAGTTAACAAAAGTTCCTTTACAAGTTTTCCTTTTATTTAGGAATTACAGGGAGAGTTTGGGTGGCATTGCCAAATAGAGAGACTTTCCACTTCCAAAGATGAATCCACGGTGCCTTCAATAAAGCAGTCCTTGAAAAAATGATTGCCCCCGTCATCACAAAGTGTGTCTTGGAAACCAATCAACCTGCAATTGAACAAGGCTGACTTGTTACCCGACACCCTCAATGCCAATGCCTGTTCTTCCACTCTTTTTCCATCTGGCCTTGTTAAAGAGTTCTTCACACAACCACAAATCAATGTAAATTATAAGGAAACAAAAATATTAAGAAAGTTAATAAAAAAAAATTGTTGTGTGTGATGATAATATCACGTGACATGAAACATTTCTAACAAACGTGAGACATTTACGTACCTTAATAATAAGGTTAGCTGCCACGAAGTATTCACATTTACGTACCTTAATAATAAGGTTAGCTACCTCAAAGTTGGCATATTTGTTGGAGAGCCATTAAATGTAACAAATGGTTTTATTCCTTGGAATTGTGATTTTCTCATTGTACTTTCCCCCTCCAATGTACACAATGACACATCTCGTGTTGTCAGCCGGAATGCTATTAACGGCATCAGTGATGGTCTTGAATTCTCCACTTCCATCTTTCATAACCTTTAAATTAGTGTGTTCTAAACGAACCTCCATCTCCATCAGGTCTTGATGAACCTTCTTCTCCCTCAGGGATTGTAATTCAACATAATACTCCTTGAACTTTCTTATCCAAGCACCAGCTGCAGCAATTGATCCCAACATTACACATGATGCACAGGTATATACAGATATAAACCGACTGAAAGGTTTTGAATATTCTCGATGATTTTCATTGAACAATCGTGTGATAATTATATACAATGCTTTGCTTGGTGTCTATACAAAGGATTTCTTATTCTAGGCAATAATCAAGTCCTTGAGAAACAATGACTATATACAGCAAATCAATGAAATAAATACAAATAAAACAGGAAACTAAATCACGTCTTATTGCCGACCTTGTGATATGTTTTCGTGTTATTACGGATCATACATACAAGATGTTCCCATACTTTCAATTCCTTAAGAGGAGAGAGAAGCAGACCTCTTCTTTGAAGGACTAACAACCCAAATACTGTTGAGAATGTATAAAAATATAACCTGATCAGTTTGCGGGAGCATAATTATAATTTGAGTCTCCACATCTTTGAACATTGATGCATGAATTAGTATATTTGGGTTGGAATAAAGCGTGGGACAGCTTGCAAAATCTGTTCGTTCACAATGCACGCAGGTAAGAGAAAATCCCTGTTGATTTACTAGGCAGTCTTCTCCAACGCCATTTACAAGTGCGATTCTAAAGACTATTTTTCGACATGATGAAATATTTATTTTATTGTCATATATATTACAAATTTACATCAAGATTGGCCTGCTAGGTTTTTGGAAATTTCTATCCATTCGTGCACCAGTTCATCTTTACTCCTAGAGTTCTATTTCCATCAGATTGTTATGCTTTCCTTTATACTGAAGCAACCTTATAAACTAATTATAATAGAATTATCTTTTCAATAACCGTTATTGAGATTATTATTTTTTCACTCAAATCATTGTGGTACGGTTTTTATTGCTCCAAATTAGATATGAAATAACCTTTACGTTTGTGGAAGAGTTGAAGAAGAGGATTGGTTTATATTACAATTGGCTATCTCGGATGTCAATTATTGAGGAAAATACTATGAAGGTATATTTAAAACCAAACAAGTGAGAGACAATTTACAAAAAAACAAAAGCACGTAATCGCAACAATAGAACCAAATCTAATTAATAAAATTTCCATATCCGAGTCGGTACACACCAAATCTAATTAATAAACAATTAGGGCAAACAAACAACCCACTAAGTTTAGGGTTTAGGAAAGCATAATATTGGAAAGAGAGACATAAGTTATCATTTCTCCATTGGATTCTCTTTCTCCTTCTCCTGCTCATTCATCTCCTCCTTTAGCTGCTCCTCCATCTCCTTTACCATCTCCTCTTGCTGCTCATACTTTCTAACCTGTTCCTCCATGTCCTTGAGAAAGAAAACTCAGAGTCACCACAAATACAATTAAAAATTAAATTAAAAAAGAATAATAAGGAATCCCTACCGATTTCATCGCTTTAAGTTGTATTTCTCCGGCATCGAGTTTCTTCCTCAACCTCTCTGAAATAACCTCCATCTCCATCAGGTATTGATGAACCTTCTTCTCCCTCAGGGATTGTAATTCAACAAAATACTCCTTGGACTTTCTTATCCAAGCACCAGCTGCAGCAATTGATCCCAACATTACACACGATGCACGGGTATATGCGGAGATATACAGTCGGTACACCTAAGCCTGTGATGACAATAGATTCCGAAAACTTTCGGATATTTCTGAAGTTTCCGATTACAAATAAAGTTTTGAACTCCTAAGAACTTATAAATTTTAAAGACCTTAATTGAAAAATAAAATAGTTGGGTGAACATATTTATAAAAGAAAAAAGGAGGAAGTTTATGTTTGTTTTTCGATGTGGGACTCCAACTACCTAGTTCTCTGGCTTGAATCTCGGGATTCTTCTGGGGCAGGAAGTCCCCTGTGATCGCATGGGTGAGATTTCTTCACACCATCTGCGTTAGCTTTTCCAGAACTCTCAAGAGATCTCCCCGTTGTATTTGATCAGATGGTGAGGGACTTGGTGGACCCTGAAGTGGCTCTGTGTGGCAAGAACAAAGAAGCTGCTTTGAAGTCGAAGCAAAAGGAAAATAAGTGCTTCTTGAGTGGTGTGATTATGCTAATGCTTTGGATTTCTAAACTCAGGTACCTCCATCTTTGAAATTACTTCTTTATTTTGAAGCAATTGCTAGAGCTCATTACTCATTGGCTTAGATTGATAACACCTCTGCTCTGAAACCCCTTATTCCTTTACTTGTTTGTTTATTATCTATCATTGGCATGAGGCACAAGCATTGAGAGTTGCTCCTATGGATGCACATGAGGACAGAAATCTGGTTGCCACTTTGGATGTGAATCGGGCTTCTGTATTGCATGCAAGTCCCATCCTTGATTTATGTGGGTATGTACCAAACGTAACAAGTACTCAGTTCTTTATCAACAGATTTCATTGCTAACAGTTAGTGTATCGTTTTTTTTATATAGATTTCATTGGTAACTGTTAGTGTATCATTTTTTTCATTCTTCACCCAACTATCTTATTTCTCAGTTAGGGTCTTTAAAATTTATATTTCTGAAGAGCTCAAAACTTTGGAATCGGAAACACACAAATTTGCTGAATCTTCTCTGCTCAAAACACATAAATTTTAAAGACCTTAACTGAAAAATAAGATAGTTGGGTGAACATTTTTATAAAAGAAAAAAACGAGGAAGTTTATGTTTGTTTTATAAATAGGTAGTTGCAGTCCCACATCGAAAAACAAACATAAACTTCCTCTTTTTTTCTTTTATAAATATGTTCACCCAACTATCTTATTTTTCAATTAAGGTCTTTAAAACTTATAAGTTCTTAGGAGTTTAAAACTTTATTTGTAATTGGAAAGTTCAGAAATTTCCGAAAGTTTTTGGAATCTATTGTGATCACAGGCTTAGGTGTACCGACTGTATATCTCCGTATATACCCGTGCATCGTGTGTAATGTTGGGATCAATTGTTGCAGCTGGTGCTTGGATAAGAAAGTCCAAGGAGTATTTTGTTGAATTACAATCCCTGAGGGAGAAGAAGGTTCATCAAGAGAGGCAATCCCTGATGGAGATGGGGGTTCGTTTAGAGAGGTTGAGGGAGAAACGCGTTGCCCAAGAAATACAACTTAAAGCGATGAAATCGGTAGGGCTTCCTTATTATTCTTTTTTATTTAATTTTTAATTGTATTTGTGGTGACTCTGAGTTCTTCTTTCTCAAGGACATGGAGAAACTGGGTAGAGCGTATGAACAGCTATTTGAGCGCGTGCATAGAGCGAAGCAGCTAAAGGATCTGATGAATGAGCAGGAGAAGTAGAAGGAGAATCCAATGGAGAAATGATAACTAATGCCTCTCTTTCCAATATTATGCTTTCTTACACCCTAAACTTAGTGGGTTGTTTGTTTGCCCTAATTGTTTATTAATTAGATTTGGTGCGTACTGACTCGGATAAGGAAATTATATTAATTAGATTTGGTTCTATTGTTGCGTGCTTTTCTTTTGTTGTAAATTGTCTCTCACTTGTTTGGTTTTAAATATACCTTTGCATTACTTTCCGAGATAGCCGATTGTAATCTAAATCAATCCTCTTCTTCAACTCTTCCACAAATTTAAAGGTTATTTCATATCTAATTTGGAGCAATAAAAACCGTACCACAATGATTTGCGTGACAAAATAATAATCTCAATAACGGTTATTGAAAAGATAATTCTATTATAATTAGTTTATAAGGTTCCTTCAGTATAAAGGAAAGCATAACAATCTGATGGAAATATATCTCTAGGAGTAAAGATGAACTGGTGCACGAACTGATAGAAATTTCCAAAAACCAAATATGCTAATTCATTCATCAATGTTCAAATATATGGAGACTCAAATTGTAATTATGCTCCCGCAAACTGATCAGGTTAGATTTTTAACATTCTCAACAGTACTTGGGTGGGCAAGAAGTCCAAAAACTTGGCGGACTGAATCATTTTTGTTGGTCCTTCAAAGAAGAGGTCTATTTCTCTCTCTTCTTAAGGAATTGAAAGTATGGGAAAATCTTGTATGTATGATCCGTAATAACACGAAAATATATCACAAGGTCGGTAATGAGACGTGATTTAGTTTCTTGTTTTATTTGTATTTATTTCATTGATTTGCTGTATATATTTCTTGTCTCTCAAGCACTTGGAAATCCTTTGTGTAGACACCAAGTAAGGCATTGTATATAATTATCACACGATTGTTCAATGAAAATCATCGAAACCTTTCAGCCGATTTATGCTGTCCACGGCAGCACAATCACCCAAGGATAACTGAATAGACGAGATCAGCTTCACATGTTCATATCCAATGACAATGTGATTAGGATTATAGAGCTTCTCCAGGATCTGCCAATTGTCAATGTGAAACAACATTAAAACATAATTTGGAGTTATTTATGTACTAAACAAGTACACCAAGAGACTAGTGAGGTATCCATGTCTCATCTATGAATTTTATCCTCGCATAGGTATTTTATTTTATTTTATAAATAGTATCGCTGTGCGGCTATACCTTTTAAATATAATGTATTGAAAAGAGTATCGGCTCGAGGCTTATTTTGACACGTGGGCACCTTATCGCTGGGGTCCCTTTTTTTTTTTGTATTTTTATAAATCGTATAGCCGCGCGGCGGTACTCGGTTTTTCCCTCATTTTTAGAAAACAGTATAGCCGCTCGGCTATACCTATTTTGACACGTAGCCTCATCGCCAGATGGGTTTTTTTTTCGTTTTTTTATAAATAGTATAGCCGCCTGGCCATACCCGGTATTTCTTTTTAAAAAAATAGTACAGATGCCCGGCTATACTCGGTTTTATTAATTTTCTTAAAAAAATTTAAAAAAATTGAGGCACGACTATACTCTTTATATATACTGAGATACTTTTTTTCATAAATATTTTTCCCCAATTTTCGTTTATCAATAAGAGTAGTTTAAAGCATTATCCATTACTTTTAGACCATTACTCGAGTCTCTATTGATTTATTGTGAAATTTTCATACCAAAAAAAAGAAAAAATTGAACTCTCTGATTGATTTGCTGTGAAATTTCTCTCTTCAATATCTGATTTGGATATGTTGAAACTAGCAAATTAATATCTATAAAGTATAAACTAATGCAACTCGGAGGGTCCTTAATTTTTTATTTATTAATAGTATAGCCGATCGGCTCGGCTATATGTATTTTGACACATGGGCACCGGTTCGCGGGGTTTTTTTTTTAAATAGTATAGCCGTGGGGCGTTACCTTTTAAATATAATGTATTGAAAGAGTATAGCCGCGCGGCTATACATTGGTTTTTTTAAAATTAAAAAAAAATAGTATAGCGGAGTGACGATACTTATATTTTTTATAAATAGTATAGCCGCGCAGCTGTACTCGGTTTTTTTTTAATGTTTTTTAAAAATAGTATAGCCGCACGGCGATACTCAGTTTTATTTTCTTTGTTAATTATGAGAAAATTGGGTTTTGTGTTAAAGGTGATGTGTCAACATAATTTCCCTTGAATTTTATTTTAATAAGGTGGCATATGCAGAAAAGAATTCCAGCAGATCATATCGTAAAGAATCCAAGCAGAGAATTTGAATCCATATAGGAAACATTCACTTTTATTTGAGGAAAGTCATACGTATTTTTCACCTTCCCTCCACTATCTAATACATAAGCGCACATGAATTGTACACTTCAAATTTATGTAACTCATAGCTTGAAAGAAAGCTAATTAAGATGATTCTTTTATTTGATAATCAAGCATAATAATATATTCTTGTAGCTAGCTAGAATATTCGTGTTCTTATGGTGGGGTGGTGATACCTGCAAAACAAAAACAAAACAAAAAAAAAATTAACCAAAGTAATCAGATCCACACAAATAAAGAAATTACTATATATATTTAATTAGTGCTGATCTTGTTTTTGTCGACATTAATCAATTCATGTTAAAGATTAATTAGGTCAGAGAGAGAGAGAGAGAGAGAGAGAGAGAGAGAGATGAACTCACTGCCGCACTTCAAGTTGCGAGGGACGCTTCTTCCACAGCCTTCAATCTGCTCAATCGTACGGCCGATACCTTGGGGGTGACATAAGGGCACACACACTCGAAATGTGTCACCCTAACACGTTGGCAGCAATATGCAGAGGGACTGCCCCCTATTATATAACCGCGTTCTTGCATGCACCCATAAGAAGGTCTTTCTTGGCTGGGCGTCGTGTCTCCTTTTGCCATGGGAACCAGCCACAACCACCCAAACACCTACCACCAAGAACAAGCACACAACCATACTCAATGAGCCTGTAACCTTCATGATTTCTTTTCTTTTTTGTTTCTTCTTCTTTCCTTTGTTGCTTTTTGTGTGGCAAAACTACCCCGTTTTATAGATTGTGAAGAGGGTTAAGTTTGAGGAAACCCTACCGTTGCCCTACCAACTTTGATATTTTCCACAAACAACTTTGTCTAAGGGTTTGTGAAAGAAGAAAAAGAATAAAAAAAGGAACCAATTAAGACCCAAAGACAACAAAGAGACAACAGAAAGGAGAGACAAAATTGACGTAAATGGCTCCAAAAATTGTACGGTTTTAATACGACGTGCATGGACAGACATGGGTCCTTCTTCTAGTGGCCGGCCCAAAGAAAGCTATTTATGTAATTGTTTAACTAGGAACCTTACTTGGAC